AGTTGACATTGGCTTCTGGTATAACCTATGGTCTATTTCTCCCAGCCTGGTCAGGAATAATGGTGTTCCCTAGCTGGCCTAGCCTCATTTCACCTCTCACTGATTCTGTATATCTCTGTGCTTGTAGAGGATTCAGCCTTAGCCTCATTTTATCCCTCTTCATGGTGCCTGATGGCAAAACACGGCTCTCAAATTGTTGCCTTCAAAGACCCCTTAAATGCATGCAGTAACTTCAGGGCCCTATCTATATAACACAAGGTGTGAAGAAGACTCGCTAGCAGCAACCAAAAGCTGTCTTTCCTCTGTTCCATAGTCATAGAATTGTACGTGGGCCAACGTGGCTGCTTTGCTACACTAAATTCCCAGCATTCCTGTGGTTAGATTGGGTCAGGTGACCAAGTTCTAGTAAATGAAATATGAGTAGATGTCTGTAACTTTTGGGCCAGAATCTTATGACATGGGGTGTGTCACCTCTACCCTCTCTCTTCCCTTCCTACCAAATGAAACCTAGACATGGCAGTCACATACAGTTGATGACAGTGCTCTAGGCTTGGTGGCAGAGCAACTACCAGGAGATGAACCTGAGTCCCTGAATGAAGAGCTGACCACCAGCCTGGACACTTACCTCAGATTATTCTAGGAGAGAACTTGTTTTCCTTCTAATGACCCTACAGTTGAGCCGCTTGATTAAAGCAGCAGTGTTCCAACAGCAGCTGAGAGGAAATGATTGCAGTTAGGGAAGGCCACATCCAGTCTTACACGAAGTGACCAGAATGTATTACTTAAGCTAAAGTCCCCTATCCTTAGAGTTCCTCTCACCCTATCGGACAGATTCCTCTATCTTGAAGCAGGGAGACTGAGCTCAAGTCCAGCCTCTTTCTCTCTGACTCTTCGTAATTTATAGGCACATGAATGTGGACTACAGACTCCCCCACCCCCATTCCCATGATAAAATAAATAAGTCCTGGGGACATCATGTACAGTATGGTGACTATACGTAATACTACTATATTGACTATATGTAATACTGTATGCATATTTGAAAGTTGGTAAGAGAACAGCTCTTAAAAGTTCTCATCACAAGAAAAACATTTATAACTATGGAGGTGATAGATGTTAACTAGACTTATTGTGGTGATCATTTTCCAATATATGCCCATATTAAATAATTATGTTGCACACCTGGAACTAATATAACATTATGTGCCAATTATATCCCAATAAAACAAAATCCTCCCTCTCTGAACAAAACCTGGCTTTCACGATGTCTGCAAAATCCTATTTTGACTCATGAAAGTGGAAATGCAAGAGGAATGCTCATTAGTAGTTTTTGAAATATTACCTTTCTTTACAGATACCAAAAAAGGAAAAGGATTTATAAGATATTTATAGTGGTTATCACTGTATGACACAATTATGTGATTTTTAAATCTTATTTTGATTTTTATTCTCTGACTTCTATGATAACATATACTACTTGGCTAAAAAAATTTTTTAAAACAATAAAAGTTATTTAAAAATATTCCTGTAGCACTATCTGTTGGGAAAAGGCAAATTACAGTTTCTGTGGGAACTAAGTGAAACTTGTCAGAGCAGTTGAATTAATTAGGTCTTAACTGACATTTAACAGCCAGGGTGGCAGGTCTGATATAACTTAGTGAGGACTTAGAAAATTAGGGATAATAGCGTGCAGATTGTATTCCTGCAAAGCATGCTTGATTCGGGGGAAATGGTGCCTTGAGCAGAGTTCCTAAAAATGCATTTTGAGTTTATTCTTTTTCCTGGAGATGTTTGAGTGAAATATCTAAGGTGAAACACAAACCCCTTCTTGTTGGCTTTCCTCCTTCACATATCACAACAAGGGAATTATTGCAGGCTTTGCTGCAATATTTTATGTATGGATCATTGTAAAGAAATCCCGTGGCACTTTCCCCCCCATAGCAAAGAGGGACATAGAGCTCTGTCCTTGGTAAGAACATTTCCTTGAAAAAAATAAAATATGAGTTAGATTTATAATGTCCAGGAGGAAACACGGACTTCAGAGTTTTCCAGCAGTGGGAAGCAAACTCCCCAACAGGAGGGAAGGGAGGGGCCTCATTGCCATGACCGTGGCCCTGCTTGGCCTGAACCTGGGACAAAGCTAGGTGAGGGAGGGAGTCAGGAGGCAAAGCCAAGGGACCAAGCACGCCTTCAAGAGTCATCTGAAGGACCGTGCAGCTGAAATGTCCCAAGCGAGAAACTTAATAAAAAGGTCCACGGGAAATTCTAAACTCTATTATTTTTGCTTCAGGTAGGTCTGCAGGGAGCATCCTGCCCCGTTGCATCAGGGAATTAGACAGAAATGACCCCATGTCCAGAATGCCAGGCAGTTTTCATTTTTCACTGTGCAAACCTCCACAGCATATCAGACAGGGAGTAAGAATATGGGGGGGGGGGGGGGCTTGCCAAACACTTCTAGGGCAAAGGTTTCTTTCTACAGCTCTACCAGTTCCAGACTATTACCTGTCTGCTGCCTTCTGGGCTGAACTTAATCTCTTCCAGCCGCGCTGGCTCCTACAGCCCCTCTCACTCCTCCCTGTCTGGCCTTCCTGCCCTCCGTCTCTCGCGGAGGAAAAATTAAGTATCCCACTTAAATCCCCCCACTTAGGACTTGGGGGTCCTGAGCAGGAGCCATGCCACAGTATCCATCTCCAGCAACAGATGGATGACAGGCTGGCTGGCCTCACAAGGGGTGTCTCCTTTCTGCCCTGTGGCTACGCTCTTCTCCCTGCCCCTAATCAGTTCCAGCTAAGCACACAAAGAAAAAGGTACAGCGCAGCTCCATGCAGAGATCTACTCCTCTCAAAATCCCACCTTGGTCCCACCCGAATTCCCCCAATTCCTTGTTAGGGATTGCTTCTTTAGGGCTAAGTTAACCCTATTTTTTTTTTTTTATGTTTATTTGTTTATTTTGAGAGAGAAAGAAAGAGCACAAGCAGGGTGGGGCAGACAGACGCCCAAGTGCGCTGCACACTGGGGCAGAGTCCCACATAGGGCTTGATCCCACTGCCATGAGATCACAACTTTGAGCTGAAACCAAGAGTCCAGCACTCAACCAATTGAGCCACTCAGGTGGCCCTTGGGTGTCATCTTTTGAAATACCCATCTTTCTGCCAGAATGGTTGGAATCGTCACCAAATAGTTCCACGCAAAGCCTTGGTGACCTGTGGGGATTGAAAGTCTGACTAGAGTGGGAATTGGGGAGTGCTCGATGTGTGTCTGCCTACCCCACCCCTCACACGTCTAGACGTCACTAATCAACCAAGGAGTAGGTCGTCTTCTGCCTGAGAAGCTAAGGCTGAGGCTTCGTCATCTTCCAACAGAATGCCTTGGAGAGACTTGACAGATTTGGTGGAATCTCTTTGCCATCTCTGGACTAAAACATAGGATATATATTGAGCTGTAGAGTCTGGGTCCATGGGTTCTTACACTTGGTTACAAGTTGTCAGGAGAGCTTGTTAACACACAAATTCCCAGACCCCATCACCAGAGTTCCTATTTCAGTAGGGCTGGGGTGGAGGCCCAGGTGATGCTGCTTCCGATTGGGGGCCACCCTTAATAACCACAGGTCTATATCACAGCAAGGCCCTTGACCTTTACTCATAGGCAGCGTAGGATCCTTGAAGGACCATGAAGGATGTTCATCCAGGTAGGAGTGGGTTTGGGGCTCACAATGACATTTTCCAAAGCTCAGACTGCCCTAGTGCAGAGGAGTCCCTTGTGTGGACTGCAGCTGGGCACAGGAAGGATAAACAGAGGCTGTTGGCATGCTCCCAGTTATGTCCATGATGAGGTATTTTGCGCAGTCTTACAGAGTGAGACCTTGGCAGCAAAATTGTGCTGGGTCACTTCCAAGAGCCCGAGAAAGGTAGAAAGTTGAGGAAGACGGTTTAGAAGAAACCATTAACAGGAGACAGGGGGCCTCAGAAACAAATGTTGGCCATTTCCCAGTTTTGCCAAGCTCCAGTCCAGTTTCCAAAGCAAAGATTGTGCCCTTGCAGAGAGGTCTTCCAAAGTGACACTCACTGGGCAGACCCGCTAAATACATAGGGCTGGCTCTCTCCCTCCCTCCCTCCTTCTCTGCCCTGTGGGGAGACTCTATTCTATTTGGAGAGAGCCACTTGGTGAACAGGTGGTGACAATTAGCAGGAGACCAGCCATTTCCCTGCTTCATCTTTCAATGTGTCAAAAAGACTGACTTAGGGAATTATGGAGTGTGGGTAGCTTTCCTGATCTGTTTAGTTCAGCAATACTTGGCAGAGCCTGGTCATTCTGACTTAGTGCCTGATGTATAATTGGAAGGACATTAAAAATTATCTAAACTCTAGGGGCGCCTGGGTGGCTTAGTCGGTTGGGCGTCCGACTTTCGCTTAGGTCATGATCTCGCGGTTCGTGGGTTCGAGCCCCGCGTCGGGCCCTGTGCTGACTGCCAGCTCAGAGCCTGGGGCCTGTTTCAGAGTCTGTGTCTCCCTCTCTCTCTGACCCTCCCCTGCTCACGCTGTCTCTCTCTCTCTCTCCTAGAAATAAATAAAACATTAAAAAAAAAATTATCTAAACTCTACTAACTACTTTCCTAAGGAAGGTTACTGGCATACACGTGGTAAAAGAGAATTCAGAATTTTGCTACACACTCCAGATGTGCAAATAAAGCTACATCAGAATCTGGACAAGTAATAATACTATCTAGAAATGGCATCATGCCAGACTCCTGTTTATCAACTGTCAGGGGATTCACATGACTTTGGATGTCTCTTGACACACCCACAAAATTGGTCAGACTGGCCTACTCTGAATCTGCTTTGTGCATTTTCACCTCTGGCTCTGCTCGGACAGCCATAGACAACATGTAAATGGGTGACAGTGTGGCTATGTTCCAATAAAACTTTATTTATGGACACTGAAATTTGAATTCATATTCTTTTTACATGTCATGAAATATTATTCTTCTTTTGATTTTTTTTAAAAATATGGAATACTTCACAGATTTGTGCATCATCCTTTCTCAGGGACCACACTAATCTTCTCTGGACCGTTCCAATTTTAGTATATATTCTGCCGAAGTGAGCTGATTTTTTTTATTAACTATGTAAAAACCATTTTGACCCCTGGTCTAAACTAATCATTACCCTTGCCAATGGCTGGTTTAGACCAGAACATGTGATACCATTTGGACAACAGGATGTGAGATGAAGTCTGCTGGGAATCTTCTGGGAAAGATTTCCCCACACTTAAAAAGAAGCATGGAAGACATGATCTTTTTGTTTCTGAATGGTGTCTTGCATGGATACGGCTGCTGGAAATCCAGGGGCCATCTTGTCACCAGGTGGGCAGCCGGTCTGAGGTCAAAGCCTTCATGCTGATGCTGGTCAAGCCCAAAAGATGGAAAGAGCCTGGGTCCTTGATGAAGTCTTTGAGCCACAGAATTAATCACCCTGGATCGGCCTTACCGACAATCTTCTTATTCTGGAAGTTTATAAATATTTCTATTGTTTCCACAGTGGAAGGGGAGTTTCCTCCTAAGCTGCAGCTAAAAGCAGCCTCATCTGAGAACACTTTGGACACTACAGACCGCCATGCTTGGGAGCCCCCGTGAGTCACTCCTCATAACTGGAGTGAGTGGGAAAGCAGAATACCCAGTGAACAGTTGAGAATCTCATTTTATATTTCCTCTTACCTTGCTTGCCTACACCCTCGATCCACACTTGATTGATTGCTCTTCTCTCCCACATCCTTAAACCCCAACTCCTTAATTCTTCTCATCATCCAGCCGCTGAAACATTTATGTTTTTAGTTCCTACTATCATTGAAATAGTCCCCTAGATTGCTCCAAATGCACATCTGAGAAGGAAAAGGAATCAGGGTGGTCACAGATCTCTCCTCAGCTCACTCACCAAAGTACAGCACAGAGTATTCCCTCTTGTGATCTGTGGCTTTCATCATCTTTCCCTCTGCTCTTCCGGCCTCACAGCCATAACTCATTCACCTCTTGAGTGAAACTTGCCTTCCCAGGGTTCTAGCCACCCTCCACCACATCCCTCCACTCAAGGCCATGATCATTTGCTTTCCCCATGCACTTAGGTGCTTGAAAGTAAAGGCAGAGGGTTGCTGTTGTCTAAGTCTGACCATGAGACATGGCACAAATTCACAACCCCAGAAAACATCCTTGATTCGACCTCAGATGCAGAAGCAGATCTGGTTAGTGGGCATTCTTCTCTATCTGCATTTGAGGCACCTATTCAGCCAGATGCCCACGTTTTCCCACCAGCGACTGCAAATCCCCATTCCTCTTCTTACTTGCTGCTTTTGTCTCTTTCTCCTCTGTATTTATTTTCTTTGCCTACACATTTTGTTTTTCTTTCAGGGAACCCTTACCTAGACCTGCCATATGGTTCTGCTTTAAACAAAGTGTGGCGTGTGCAGATGCAGCTGGTGGGGTCCCTGGACATGATCGTCTACACATGGGCCCCTTGGAGCTCAAACTGCTGCCTGGCAGATCGGGGCTAAGATTCAGCTGTGGCAGGGAGAGGGGGTTCCAGAAAAAAGTCCAAGGCAGGCCACACACCTCATTAGTTCCTTTTGATTAGTTTCTTTTATCCAGTTGTTAGGAATGGTGAACAGTGATAGACGAGGTAGTCCTGAGATTGTTATCCCCCGAATTATATACATTTTGGCAAGATGAGATAAACCATGGAGAGAGCACACAGAGCCTGACACGTATATAGCCAGATTGACTTGCGAGATTGTGTGAGGTTGCCTGAAATCCTAATTCCACAGCCTTTCTTCCTTTTTCTTGCAAAGCTTTGAGGGCTTATGCTTTGACAGCCTTTTTTGTCTTTTGGCTCTGTGTCCATTTGTGCCATTTCTTCTTCTACCAACCTGGGCTGAGAACAAGGGCAGCTGTTCACCAGGATGTGAACCAGGTTGGACCCTGCACACGGGTGCCCTGTCCAGAGGCAGGGTGGTGACTAAAGCTAGCTCCAGTTCAGAATTCCAAAGAAAGACCAGAGGGAGGGGTCTTAGGTAATTCCTCCACCCGAGGGTACACCACTCTGTGATTTGTTTTGCCCTAAGGGCTTCCTTTTCTAATTTGTACAAAAGTAATCAGGTAGATTAGCTGAAGGTCCTACACTGAACTTTGACTTTCATTGATTCTTTGGAGGGAAAGCCAGACCTAACTGAGCTTCTAGGCAACTAAAGATTTGAAGGACTGGGCTGGGAGGTCACTGTGTACAATATACAGCCTCTCTTGTTTTGTCTGCTTTGTCCCCATCTCCTTTCCTTGTCCAGGAGCTTAGAGTCGCCCTTGCTATTTGAATATGCTCCAGTGAGTAATCCAAGTATTTCTGCCAAATAAATGCAAAGCTCTCCCTACGGTAATATCTGGGGAGTAACGTTTTCTCTACCTCAATTTGTTGGCGGTAACCAAAGCAAAGCAGTGTATATTTCCCAAGCCGGAATACACTGCATGTAACAAATCACTGAACAGTGTTGGCTGTAGCAGTGGAACTGGTGAGTTCAAGAGAATACAGTCCAATTATTATCCCCTCTCACTATTCAAACTTGTTCTGTGGAATTATGTTTTTCTTAGATCTCATGGTGTATCTGTTTATTTTCATTATAAGAATGGTAGCACTTTTGTGGTTAAACTGTTTAGTCACATGTAAGAGTGGAAACTCTCTTTCCTTTGAAGTGAAGGCTCCCCAATCCCCACACACCTGCTTGATGAGGTTCATCTGCCAATGCCCGCATTCCAACCACAAATTGGGTCTTCTAGGATTGAAGCAGGGGAGATGGGAAAATCGAAGACAGGGGAGGTGTGTTTGCCTGGCACCCATGAATCTGATGTTGGTTCCCTCCAGCCCTGGCAGAAGTATTAAGCTGAGTTTCTTTTTTGTGTGTCTTGGTTTTTTGTTTAGATGATAGTTTCCTCTCTTACGAGATCATAAGCACTTCAAGGATATATAGTAAAACCTTGGATTGTGAGTAATTTGTTCTGCAAGTGTTCCATAAGACGAGCAAACATTTCTAATAAATTTTAACTTGAGAAACAAGCAGTGTCTTCCAATACGAGTCGTACATGATGTCAAATGTCACATGATCACAACTGAGCCAATGGTTCCTGAAATTCGCTTTGATATATGACTGCTTTGGATTACTAGCATGTTTCCAAAATGAATTATGCTCACAAACCATCCATACATCCATACTGAATATGAGTACTTGAAGAATGTGTGCTAGAGAGATGTTAAAAAGGTTATAATAGCCTACTAACATAAAGAAACAGAACATAAAGTGGATGAAGGGGTCAATGGTTTAAAAAAAAAAAGAATTGCAATAGTGCTCCAGCCATCTGCTTTGCTGCTTTTCAGCTGAGCACCTGCTGTGGGCAGGCACTGTCCTGGGCATTCAACATCATTTCACCATCTGAGCTATTTGATAAGTGACTGGAGGTTCAAACTCTAGGGAACATGAGTTGCTTTGCTTTACGTGCAAAGTGAAGACACCAGTGAGAAGCGGCACCTAAGCAAGGATAGGAGAGGATAAAGCTGAGTTTCTCTGAGCCTGATGGGTGCTCGAATCTTCCTTATTTGTTTTTGAAATGTACCTGGGGCCTTTGATTGCCCCTGCTGAGCCCTCCAACTGTGACTTCAGCTGGCTGCTGCTGATCCCATCTGCTTTGCAGCAGATCGGACATCTCCCACCTCCATTTTGCTGTGCCTTCCTTCCTCTGGCAGATGTCCATTCTACAGCAACCACAGGTATGCTATCTCTCCCAGGTGACCCAAATCTGGGTAATACACCATCTTTGCTCTGACAATACCCTGAGCATGATCCTCATCCCTCCTGCCCCCTGTGCCTCAGCCAGCTTTTCCTGAGCAGTCATTTTCCCCAGCCTTGGTTCACTGTGCCTTCCCAGATCTCCTGATGCTGTTTGATAACTTTATCTAAAACATACTGGCTTTGGCTGTTTTCAACTTGCTGTTATGGAAATTCCAAAATTCACAAGAGTAGAGAGATTAGTTTAATAAGCCTATAATAAACTCATGAGCCAATCACCCAGCTTAACAATGATTAATTCAGAGCCAATCTCATTTCATCAATACACAGATGTATTCTCTTCTCTGCTTTTCCACAAACACCAGCCTAAATTTCAAAGCAATTATAATTTTTACATGAAGTTCTTAGGTAAGCAGTATCTCTAGATTTTAAGAACCTTATTTACAAAATAAAATACACAACCACTCAGCCAAATTAACAATAATTTCTTAATATCATCAGATAGACAATTTTCTTTTATCATCCTTTTTTTGTTTTTTTAAAAGATTTTTTAGGAGAAGTTTTAAATTCATAGCAAAATTAAGAGAAAGATACAGAGATTTCCTATATATCCCCTGCCTCTGCACACTTCCCATTACCATTACCAACATCCCTCACTAGAGTGCTATATTTGTTATAATTGGCGAATCTATATTGACTCATAATAATCACCCCAAATCCGTAGTTTACATTAGAGTTCACTCTTGGTGTGTATATTTTATAGGTTTGTCCAAATGTGTAATGACATGTATCCACCATGATAGTATCATACTGAGTATTTTTACTGTCCTAAAATCCCCTGTGCTCTGCCTAGCCATAACCCTTGGTAGCTACTGAACTTTTTACTATTTCCATAGTTTTTCCTTTTAATCATCATGTTTTTAAACAGTTGGTTTGCTCAAATCGAGATCAAAAAGTCCCTACAATACATTTGGTTGATGTCTCTTTTAGTCTGTAGGACTTCTCTCCCTCATCCCATCCCCCCTTAAGATTTATTTCTTAAAGGAGCAAGGTCATTTATCCTATAGAACTTCCTCCAGTGAATAATTATTGATTGTACCTCTTTTTAATCAGTAGTTTTTATTAACATTTATTATGTTCCTCTGGGTTGAACATCATTTCTGTATCATCTCTTTGGTCAAAGAAATGTGTATTTAACAAAATACTTAAGGTGGGAAGGGAATGTTGTTAGAGGCTAGGAAGATGGCAGATTAGGAGGACCCTAAGCTCACTTTGTCCCATGGATACA